CTGTGTGCTCCAGGGCACACACACTGCTCTGTGTGCTCCAGGGCACACTCACACTGTGCTCTGTGTGCTCCAGGGCACACTCACTGTTGCTGTTCTGGTGCCCTTGGTGTGTGACCTGTGCCTGTTGTGTGCCTGAGCTGGGATCATGCACTGCTGCTATTTCAGCAGGGTGATAAGCAACTGGGGAAAGGTGTTGGAGAAGCCTCAAGGGCAGGAGAACCCCTCTAAGTGGGAAGGTCACATAAAGCCAACTCCTTTGAATACTCAGACTCATGGTTTCTGTTCCTGGTTCTGGCCAAATCAGTGTACCCAGAATTTTCAATGTTTTTAAGGGGAGATTTACCCTTCTCCCCTTAAAAACATTTTTGATGTTTTTAAGGGGAGGAGGGGAAACTTAACTTGTTGCTTGCCAGATCCTAAACTTCCTTTTGCAAAACAGGGCCAGGTAGGAAGTCAAACACAGGGCAAGCTGGGAAGGCAAATACAGTAACCATGTTTTAGAATCATATTCTAAAAACCATATTTTAGAAAATCCATTGACATTTCTGTGCACATGAATTGCTCTGTAACTGCAATCTGCAAAAGCCCCAAGCAGGAGATTTTTACACCACGTTGCATGTTTTACTCATATAGCAAACAGAGGAATTTCTCAGCTGCCTGTAATGGGCAGCTGTGAATTGAGTTGGAGGGACAGAGGTGATAGAGTTTCAAAACAGCTGCTATGCTGATGACCCATGGGGGCCTAAAATTAAAGCCTAGCTCAGTTTTCAGTCCCAAAGCAGCACATTGGGCAGCCAGCACTTATCTGTCAATAGTGTTCTTTTTTTCCCTTTAAGAGGAAACAGAAACTAAGTTAAGCTGCCTTTACTCAGGAGAAAATTTTTTGATTTAGAAAATATTTTAAAATTGCATGCAAGAAATACTTATTATTTACCAGTAATTATGTCTAGTAGTTGTGAGTGCAGGAAAGCAAGGTGATCTCATTAACTCCTGCCAGAATCTCCTCTGTGGAGGCTTTGTGAAGATATTGGTGGTAGGAGTGTTGGGCTAGAAATCTCAGGAATTATCTCTGTAAGTGTTGATGGTGTACCTAGTACAGTGCTGTCTGTCTTAATTTTTATTAGGCTGCTCTCTCCCTAATAGTGCCAAACTGCAGTGAAGTTTTGTATTGCATTAGGTTTGGTCCAAGTTTTACTCTGCAAACACTTGAGCAAGCATAGCCAGTCTTTTGGGATTTGCCTCATAAATATCTGGTGTTGCATTTGGGCTGCCCCTTGTCAAAGCCAGCCCAGCTTCATTGCAGTCCTGAGCTTTGAGATCATCCCCGGGGTCTGTCTCTGGCAGCAGTGAGCTGCAGTGCCAGCCTGGCCACAGTGTGGGAGTGTTGTGCTACGTTTCATAGAGCTCTGAGCTGCTGCCTGCCCTGTGCAAGCCATTCTCAAAAAAAACCCCAAAAACCCAGCATCAAGTGTGAGTAGCAGCAGACTTCCACAGGACTCAGCTTCTGGCAGTGATTCTCTGTGGGAGCCCAGCCTGTTCCTCTCACTTCATGTTCCACAAGAAGCAGCAGTTGTCATTACTTGGTTTGGCTGAGAAAAGCAGTGTAAGACCCTTGGGTGTGAAGCTGGATTTGGCCCAGGGGCACGGGACTGCACAACAATTAAATTCCAATCCAGTGTTTGTCACGCTTGCAGTGATTTATTTGTATCACAAGTTCCTGCAGAGTCCCAGGTTTCTTTTGGCTGCCTCCATCACCCTGAGCCCTTTGCCTGTCTCCACTCTGATTCTGTGCATTGCTCTGAGGAGTTCCATCCAGTTTGCCTCACTGCTTTTCCTCTTGTTTGGAGGGCAGAATCCAGGCTGAAGGATGTCCCAGAGGAGGGAAGGGGAGGAGATGCTGGTGGGGACATCATGGGCTTGCAGACATCCATCAAGCCCTGCACTGGGGACACCAGTGAGAGGGGGCTGATGAGAGACCTCTCCAGAGCAGCAGTGGTTGTGAATGTGCTTTGCCTGGCACACAAAAATGGTTTTCACATGCACAACTAAAAATCCACAGCTCGCAAGGAGCATCACTGCTGTGGAGCCAAATCTGCTTCACAGCCTTCCTTCAAGCCACAGTTTATTTCAAAACACTCCCCAAACCCACCATCCTGGGAAAAATAACTCGGTGAAGAAGTTTCTCTGGCAGAAGTGCACAGAAAGGCTGGACCCTCCTCCACTGTGCTGCTTCAGGCCTGCTAGAGCCTCCCCAGCAAAAACTAAGAATTTGCTGCCATCTGTAGACATTTGGGTGCTGTTCAGGCTGTTTCCCCAGCCCTGCTCCCACAGCCCTTATATAGGCAAGACAGCCACAGCAAAACCTCCCCAGTCCCAAGGCAACCTATTCCTTTCTTCAGCCTTTTGCCATCTAAGGTAGCTTGTAGCGTCTCCAGATTATTTATTCTTCACTGTTGGATGCCAGTGCTGCAAGGAGGGTTTCAGTATCCAGCTCCACTGGCTGCAGGCAGAAAGCTTGGACTTTGCTGGGGAGCAGACAGTGATTCCCTTCTGAGTGGCTCTGACAGAAATAAATCTGTCCTTTCAGGAGTGTCTTGCTCAAGTCCCACAGTGGCCAGCAAGGTTTTCCCAGCCCAGCTGTGCTCCAGGTCTCAGCTGGACAGTGGCAGCCTGTCCTGATGGGGCTGGCTGCCTGGCAGGGAGCTGTACTCACACTGCACACCCTCCTGTGCTCTCCAGGCTGGAACCCCCACCTCCCTCAGTGTTTCTGTCTCTGCAGACACACAGAGGCTGTGCTGCCTACTGAGCTGCCTGTGCTGCTGCTCCCTGCTCTGCTGGGCCTCCATCTCCCTGTGCCCACCATCTTCCATCAGCTTTACCTCTAGGATGTGCTTTGAGAAGCATCTCCCCTCCCTAGGGTGTCCCTTCTTCCTCAAGTCAGGAAAATAGCCCTGGGATGGTGAGGGAGTCTAAAACACCTTCTTGCAGAACATAAGGTGTTACATCATGGGGAGCCACACCATGGCTTCAGAGCACAGCCCTCTGGTGAAACACCTCCTTGATGAAGCAGAGCCCATGGAATTGAGGTGTCCCAAGCATTAGCACAGTTTCCTGGTGCCATTCAGGTGGGTGTGCCAGCCCCACACCTTCAGCAGGTGAGCAGCAGTGCTCTGGACCCTGCAGAGCATCCATCATAGCAAAGGAATCTTCCTTCACTCTCCCAAGCACTCCAGGGGCTGTGGCCAAGGCTGTGAGAGCAGAGGAGGGACACAGGGGTTGGGTGCAGCAGTTCATGGTGCCCCACTTCTGCCTTCTAGTTCCAGGGCCAGGCCAACTTGCACGTGTTTGAGGACTGGTGTGGCAGCTCCGTTGAGCAGCTCAGGAGAAACCTGCACTTCCCTCTCTTCCCTCACGTGAGTAAGACCATGGCATCCACTGTCCTGCAATTCCCAGCTCTGCTTCCCAGATGGATCACCCTTGTTCCCTTCATGTCCTACCCATACCTCCCTCTCTGTCCTGCTTTTTGTTAAAATCCACCACCTCCCTCTCACCCACCTCCTCTGTCCTCCTGAGGGAGCAGGAGGCTTTCAGAAGGGTAGCAGCCCTTCTGCTGCACTGGGGAGGGTCATTTCACACCTGCTGGCCTGCCAGGGCTCAGACACAGGTGAAGGAGCCCTGTATTTGGTGTTCTCCTTCCAAATGCCTTCCATGCCATGTCCTGTCCCCACCATCCCAGTGCATCCCCTTCTCAGCAGCACCTGCTCCATCTCATTTCTTACTTGGTTGGCTCTTTCACTCTGCCTCCATCTTCCTCTCAGAGAAAACCCTCTGCCTGCCTGTCCCAGGATTTTTGATTCTTCCTCTTTTTCTATCACATCTAAAATTATTTCTATTAATTTTTTCTTCTTGCATTTCAGACAAGAACTATGCTGAAGAAGTTGGCTGTGTCCCCAAAATGGACCAACTATGGTCTCCGGATTTTTGGTTACCTGCATCCTTTCACTGATGGTGAGGGCTCTGAGTGCCTTCACTCGTGTCTCTTGTCACCTCCCCCTGCCTCCCCTCCTGGTGCTGAACCACTGGTGCCCTCACCCTGGCAATTCCAACACCAGGTCCCTTGTGTGGGTGGTGTGTGTGACTGGCCACAGCCTTGGTGTGGCTGGAAGCACGTCTGCCTCTCCCTGGTGAGGAGAAGCACAGGAGAAAGCAGATGGGAAGTGTTGATAAAGGAGAAAGCAGATGGGAATGTTGATCAATAACAATGCTGTTGTGAATGCACAGCCCATGGTGGGTATATGGCCACAAACAATCCCTGAGCTTTGCCTCCCTCCCTGGCATGGCCAGGACTGTCTGTGACATCAGTGATGTCCCTTGTGCTTGCCATGAATGCCATCTGACAGCAGTGACATCTGTGTCCCCCAGCTGCATGCCTCTGCCCCGAGCAGCCTGCTGGCATCAGCCTCTGTCACTGGCCTGCAGCTGCCATCCCTGTGACCCTGGACAAAGGGTGAACCTCAGTCTCCCTGTGTGGCTCATTCCTCCACCCAAACACTGCATCTCATGTACAGTTTTGCTCTGGAAGCAAAAGGGATATCAGGGGAGGCTTTGCACAGACTTCTTAGCTTTCCAGGTCAGATGTCAGGTGAAGCCAGTGCAGGAGGGACACTGAACCAGTGACGTCTGTAAAGTTTGTTTTCAGTCACAGCAGAGTTAGCAGAGAGGTTCAAAGGCAGGAAGGTGATAATATCAAAAGGGAAGGATTGTCTCACCAGGAAAAAGGGTAAGGACAGCATTTTAGAGGAGCAGGATCTGTTCTGTGCACAAGCCCTTACCCCAAGCCCTACTTACTCCCTGCATCTCTCGACAGGGGAGTTTCAGTTTGCCATTGCTGCAGATGACAACGCTGAGTTCTGGCTGAGTGCAGATGAAAAGCCCTCTGGTGTGCAGCTGCTGGCCAGCGTAGGCAAGGTACAGTGCATGCTGCATGGCTTCTCCCCTCAAGGCTTTCATGTTCCTGTGGGGACAGAGACCTTCCTGACTTACTGCTTCCTTGGACTACCCAGGTTTCTTTCCCTGCCCAGCCACAGGTGCCAGATGGGGCATGACATGTGATACCTTAAGCCATTTACCTCTTGGTAGTGCTATAGGAATCCCTTGTTCACAATTAGGGGACTTAAATCTGTCCACAGGTGATGGATTTCACAGATGACTTACCAGGAGGAATTGGAGGCAAGAGGGAGTTAAATTTTCCTTTTTTATCATTATCAGTGCAGTAACAAGAGGAGAAACTCATCTTAACTAGAGCTATCTTCTGTCTCTTCACAGACAGGGAAAGAGTGGACTGCACCAGGAGAGTTTGGGAAATTTCACAGCCAGAAGTCAAACATGGTGAGGTGAGTGAGCAAAGTCCCTCAGTCCCAGCCAGCTCTGCACATGACCAGGAAATCACAAGGATAAGGGAAAAGCACTCAGGCTTGCCCTGAGGAGTTTCGCAATACAGAGAAAGGGATTACTCTGGGGTATTGCCAGAGCCTGGCTGATTTACTGCAGGAATGCCACACTGGATTTTTCTTCCCTGCAGCAATCAACCACCAGCACATCCAGGCTCCCCTATATGAACTGTATCCCAAGCTTCCTGTCTCCAGGTTTCCTAGAGGCCAAAGCCCAGCAGGCCATACTGAGAGGGAGTTATTCAGAATTAACTGGGAAGGCTCTGGAGTGCTCCAGGTGCATAAGTGAAGCTGCCTATCTCACTGGCAGGATCTAAATTTTCTTGGCAGCACTAACCCCGCCTACCCTGAGAATTAGGTTGTTTCAGGGGTGTGGTTGCTCTGCACTCATTGTCTGCTGACAAGCTAAGAAATGTTCCTTAATGCTCCTGGTGACAGACACCTTGTTCTTGGCAGGTTGTCAGCCCAGGGCAGGTACTACTTTGAGGTGCTGCACAAGCAGGATGACAGAGGAACAGACCACGTGGAAGTAGCAGTGAGTCTGTGGAAATGGCGGTCCCCTATATGTGTCCCCACAGAGCTCAGAAGTGATGTTTGTAACCATTTCCCTCCTTTCCCTGGCCTCAGCTGCTCATTGCATGAGATGTGGCTCATCCCTCCCAGAGCCCTTACCTACTTCTGTGTGAAATAGTCTTGGCCATGTGTCAGGACCCCTTCCTCTGCTTATTTGGGATAGGTCTGCCTTCTCTGGGGTCTCTCGAAGCTTTTTGGTCTTTCCTGGTTGGATGTGTCCTGTAGGATCTCTGCTCATTCCAGTCTTTTGCTGCTGGGTAAATTCAGTCCTAGTAGGGGTAGTGTGTTCCTTTTGTTCAGCCTTGGTTAACTCCATAGGTACTTCATTTTAATGTGTTTCTCTGTTCCAGTGGAGACTGAATGATCCAGAAGCAAAGTTCAAAGTCATTGACTCCCAATATCTCTCCCTTTTTGCTAGTAAGTATCTTCATCACAAGTTTTCCCAAGCACCTCCCCATTCTTCCTAAATGTATCAGCATCCAATGTTTCACCATGAATCATTGTCTAGCCAGGAAAATACCAGGCATACACATCATTGGGAGAAAAAGGTGGGGACAGTTCAGGAGAAAGACTTCTGGACAAGAGTGTGACTCATTACTAAACATGGGAGAAACAGAAGTAAGATTGGAGCATTTTTTCAGGGAAGTCTAGAGCTAGTGAGGAAGGGCAGAGAGGAGAGTCTGCAAAGGTGAGAAGTGTTGAGGATTGGGAGTAACACAGGATGGAGATTGCTTGCTGAGAGCCAGGGGGAACATGAGTCCCAAAACATGGGAGCTGTGTCCAGCTGCCAGCTGGACACAACCAGGGAGAAGGGGCTGCTCTAGCACTTCAGGGGATTTCACTCTGGGTCCTGAACACAGCAGGATACACTGGCAAGGATGGGGGATGCTGCTTTCTTCTGTCCCAGCCTCAAGTCTCTGAGTTGGTGCTGGATTGCTGCAAACACATCAGTCCAGTCCCTCCTGTTTTGTAAGCCCTTCTTAGCACATCAAGTGATGGTGTTATCAGTTAAGAAGCTCCTTAGTCCTGTTTACCCTTACCCAGCTTTGTCATCATCACTTTCCTCTGCCAGCATTCCCCCTTTCCATGTCTACTGCTGTTGTCTGCCAACATTTCTGGGGTTTTTTTCATAACAGCCCTTTTGTGCATGGAAGACTCCCTGATGTAATCAAGGCATCTGTTTGCCGTGTCTTAGATCATAACCTGCTGCTGCATTTTCTGAAAGCTCCCTTGTGGCTAGCACTAGGCTCTCCATTTGGTCTTCCATCTTCATCCTTCTTCCTTCTGCTCTTTTCTTCTTACTCATCACCTATAGAATAGAAGGCTGACATTCCAGAAGATCCCTTCACAATTAGGTACAGTGCTGCAGTCTCATTTTTATCTGTTGCCTTCTGCCCATAGTTTTTTCCTTCATTCATATTAGCCTTTGGCTTTATTACATGACATCCCATTCTTTCTGGGGTTCCGTGTAGTTCAGTACCCTGAAGTTGCCCACCAGTAGTGCCCTTGGCAGGATATTGCATTTCCTTCATGGATATTTATTCAATTCCCCTCATTTTAGAATAAGATCCATGGAGACATGAAGTCTGTGACGGCATCACCAAGGAAAAATGTAACCAATACCCAGTCTTGAGTTTGAGCTTCAGTCTTGAGTTTGAGCTTCAGTCTTGAGTTTGAACTTCCTGTTGTTCTTGGCTTTCTGTGGGGCTTCATTCCCTTTCTGGAGTAACATCCGCCTCAGCCACTGAAGGTCCTTCCTTTGCCCCTCAGGTTTCTCCTCCATACATCTCTCTTCATCTCCTTTGAAAAGAAACTTAATACAAATAACAGGCTGCCAGCATGGAGCCTGTTCTTTGATGGTGTATCCAAGGCAGGAGGTCATTTTCATCCACTCCTCATCACTGTGTGTGTTTGCTTTCAGTGAAAGCCGTGTTCCCACCCCACAGCTTCTCTACCTCCAGATTTCTGGGTCAGAGCCTTTCCTTTGCCTGTGCCAGAAACAGCATTGGTGCCAGGGATGCAATGCCATTTGGAAAGGGCTGGCACTGGAGAGAGGTGTTTTTTTGGACAAGGAGCAAGTTAGCCCCTGTCTCCCCCTTGTATTCTCTCTCTGGTCTCCAGATGAGACGCTTCTGAAGATGGATGAGGTTGGGCACATCCCGCAGACGCTGGCCACTGGCAGGAGCTGGGCTGCTGGCAGCACTGGCAGCAGGGTACACCCAGCTGACATGCTGAAGCCTGACCCCCGGGACACTCTTTATGAAGGTGAGACTTGGAAAGCAGCTGAGGGAGTAACTGCAGCCCGTGCAGGAGCACAGCTTGCTCCTGGAAGGATTGTCCTCCTGCACTGCAGTTATCCAGGCCATGCTTTTTTATTCCTGATGTAAAAGAGAGGGACAGCTACAATATCAGTCAGAGTAGGAGACAAAGCACAGACTAAAGCCAGCTCCTCTTTCTTGGTATCCAGCTCAAGCCACATCCCCAAGCTTATTTTTGTGTGAGCATCTTAAAGGAATGTAAAGAGCTGAGCTGTGCAAGGTTTGTTTAATCTATCCCTTAATATTTCACATGGCTAAATAGAACCCAGGGACAGAAGTAGCTGAGCTGGTGTGTGGTTGCAGCAGGGCTCCTCCTGCAGCCCTTGCCTGTGTGTTCCTTGCCTGCAGTGCCTCTGCTCAGCAAGTCCCGCGTGCGCCGGGCCCTGCCCGACTGCCCCTACAAGCCCAGCTACCTGGTGAATGGATTTCCTCTGCAGCGCTACCAGGGCCTCCAGTTTGTAAGTTGGATTTCTTAACCTGATTCTTGCCAGGGATACACAAGGAGGAAGAAGAGATCCTGTTAGCCATGGGGCCTGAGGCCCCGTGTTAGCCAAAGGCCTCCTTGCCTTTGCAGGGAGTCTCACAGTGGTTGAGGGTTTCATTCTCCATGGGGGTGACTGTAATATGTGTGGATTACTAAAGCCATGGACATCTCTTCAGGAGGACTTGGCCACCTCTCTCCCAGTTAGTTCTCACGCTGTTGTAGGACTTAAGCTCACAGTTAGAGAGGTGGGCAGATGCTGAGGGAGAGGGTAAAAGGCACATGCATGCATACATACATACATACATACATACATACATATATCTCAGCATGCTTCCTTCTGTCTTCCATTCTCACAGCCTGCTCCTGGACAGAAAAAGAGTGAGCAACTCCTGCTGGTTATCCTGCAGCTATGTCTGGGTCACCTTGTGACTGATGCCTGGCATTTATGAGGGTTTCACTTTGTCTTTCTCTCCTCTTCACAGGTTCATCTATCCTTTGTTTACCCGAATGATTACACCCGCCTGAGCCACATGGAGAAAGATAACAAATGCTTCTACCAGGAAAACCCTTATTATTTGGAAAGGTAGCATGCTGTGAATTTGGGGTTACTAGCAGGGTGGGGAGAAGCTTGAAGGCTGGAATTGGTGTGGAATTTCATGCTCCCTTCTTAATTCTTAAAGATCCCTTAAGTCTTGCAAAACATTAAAGCATTTATAGTTTCTTTTGATAACTTAAGTGAAAATATGTTTAGGTCTCCAGGGAAAACTACCAGTGCTCTTCTTACACGGTTAGCCCAGTAGCTGAGTCAGAGCATGTTTGTTCTCTTACATCAGGCAGTATATTCCCAGCCAGCTTGGCCTGCAAGTGGCTGGAGCCTCCTGATAGCTGTCACTATGAAAGCCAAGCTGTGGCCACCACCAGGCCTTTCTCTGGGGGAAGAAATGCATGCCACTCATCTTCACTGGTGCTCAGATCCCAGTGGTGGCCCCACAAGGGAGCTGCTACTTGTTGCATGCTCCCTACTGCCACAATCAGACATCTTGTGCAAGGACTCCCAGCCATCCAGGAGGACTTTTTTGCAGGATAAAGAGGGTCACTTTCCCAGTAAGATAGCTGATTATGACCCCCCTGTGCTCAGGATCTTTTTCCTTCTTCCAGGAAGGAAAGGAAAGAAAAGGCAAAGTAACATTCATCAAACTTGTGTTTTGCTCTTCTCTCTGCAGATTTGGGTTTTACAAGTATATGAAAATGGATCGGCCAGAGAAGAGCCTGGATTCTGGAGAAAGGACAGAGCAGCCAGGTAGGGGCCCTAATGTCAGAACCCAGGGGACCCTTTTATCTGTCGCTTTTGTGTGTGGTTTTGAGCAGCATCAGCTGAAGGAAGCTGTTGACTTTCCATGCCAGAGAAGTCTCAGCCTTTCCCTGCCAGATTGCTGTGTCTGGGAGGAGACTTTTGCTGCCACTTTTACTTCCCTTAAGGGCAGGTTGGGACCTCACCAAACAGTGGGGCTGCAGTAGACAACATGACAGCTCTCAGGCCCACAGCTTAGCTGAGGGGCAATTCTAGCAAAACCATGGGCAGGAGTAGCACAGCCAGAGGTGTGCAGTGTGGCAGCCTGTGGTCACACCTGCCCTGCAGAGCTGAGGGCAAAGCCAGACAGCTCCACAGCCTTTGGCAGTGGTGAGTGCTGAGGAAGCTGAGCATGGCTGCAATGTGGGAGAGCATTCCTGTCCCTCTGAGCAGGAGAGACAACATTGAGAGGAGGCAGGAGAGAAGGAGCTGCCCCCCTGCCTGGTGGGTGCCTGGGCAGGGCAGGGAGGCAGTGGGAGGATGCCAGAGGTGTAACTTTGATTCATCCCACAGGCTCCCAGGAGGGGAACCTGGATGAGCTGCAGTATGAGGAGCAGGACGTGGAGAGCACCAGTGCCCCTGAGCAGGCTGGCATAGGGAGGGCAGGGCCAGCAGGCAATGTCCCCATCAGTGTGCTGGGCAGTGACAACATCCACCAGGACTATTCCCTCCGGGAGCGCCGCCGGCTCCTCGCGGTCACGGGGGACGACGCAGGAGAGGAGATAAGGAGGAGGAGGACAAAAAGGTCTGGTATCAAATCAGCCATGTTGGCCTCTACCAACCAGAGCCTCAGCCTGCCTGGCCTAGAGGGAAACCCAGTAACGAAGAGGCCCCGTGTGAAAGCTGGTGTCAAAGACAATTCCAGGAGCCCTCCGCAGCACGCCAGGGCCATCCAGGGGAGAGTGCCTGTCAGAAGGACAATCCCTCCTTCTGGGACTGTGTCTCAAAGGCAGCAGTCTCTTGGTCACCCCAGGGACTCAGGGGTCACAATTCCCAGCAGGGTAGGACCTCGAGGAGGCCTCAGCACCGCAAAGGACAGGCTGCAGCCAGGAGGTACCATGCCAGCTGGGAAAGGAATCCCAGTCTCTGGCAGAGCTGGGAGACAGGCAGTGAGTGCTGCCAGCCCCAGCCAGCAGCCCGGGCTGCCACAGTGGCTGAGCCAGGTGCAGTCCTACATTGCTGAGCAGAAGGTGGCCAGCGATGGGGATGTGGGTGAAGGAGAGGCACAGGTGGCATCTCCTTTGAAAGACAAGTCTGGAGGAGCAGCAGAGGAGGAAGAGGTGGATGGGGAGCCAGAGGAGGAAGATGAGGAGGATTTTGATTACGTACCAGTGTTTGACCAGGCAGTGAACTGGGAGCAGACCTTCAGCATGAACAACCTGGACTTCCATATGCTGCGCACAGACTGGATTGACCTCAAGTGCAACACCTCAGGAAATTTGCTGCTAAGAGAAAGGGAGGCCCTGGAAGTCACACGTGTCTTCCTGAGGAAGCTCAACCAGAGGAGTAAAGGGTAAGGTGCAGTGAGAAAACGAAGGGACACTGTCCCAGAGCCGGTTTACAATACTCTGTGGGGAATACCTGTTATGTGAGTAACTGGTGAGAATCAGAGGATGAACTAGATGTGGTAAATAAGATTTCAGGCAAGGAATCTGTGTAGAACACTGGACTTTAGGGACACTTCTTTTTCCTGAGAAATGGCACCAGCTTTTGCTGGTACTCTATTGTTACATGGTCTTGTTATGTTTCTTTTTCTTCTCAAGACTTACCACCCCTTCTGGGAAACAGACACACTTCCTCTAGCCTTCATAAGCTAAACAATCTAACTCCTGACCCTTCTGTTTGGCTGGCCTTAATTTTTATGATTTTTTTACCAATCTTTTCTGGTTTCAGTTGGTGTTAATCTTCCTATACATAAATGACCAATATCCCGGATGTTTTATGGAATTGGTGTTATTAGCTTCTAATCCCTGCTGGAAATAGGCCTAATGTTACATATTAAGATCACATTTGCATTTTCAGGGTCACACCAGTCACAGCCAGGTGTAACTGACCAGCACACACAAGATTTTCTCAGGATTTTAAACTCACAAGCATCTGGTTTATAGCAGAAACTCTTGCTATCATCTGAAAGGGCATGACCTGGCATTTCATCCAGTTTTGGCCATTCTGAATCTACAGCCCTGCCAGTTTTTACTGTACGATTGCTCAGTCCTACTCCATATTCCTGTTTGATAAGGTGTCATGAGCCAGTTTCAGCAGCCCAAACATGCTCCTTGTGCCAAAATCATTGTAGGTGGTGTTGAATACACTTGCTATTACCAGCCCTACACAATCATTCAGACACATTTGTTATTTTCTGTGTCACCTTTATTTCATTTCTCTTGCCAAATATTTTCTCTCTTGGCCAGAATCCCAGGTCTAATCCCACACTCTTGTGGATTTAGGAGAAACAGGTGCTACACATTCCCATGGAACTTTGGAAGCGGCGCAGCAAAGCAGGGGGGGAGCTGGGGACAGAAAGGCTTGTGCTGGCCCGAAGGAAGGAGCCCAGCAGGGCTGGGGGAGGGACAGGGCCAGGATGTGCCAACAGCAGCCGTGTCCCTGCAGGCGCTTCCAGCTGCAGCGCATCGTGAACGTGGAGAAGCGGCAGGACCGCATGCGGGGCAGCCGCTACCTGCTGGAGCTGGAGCTGCTGGAGCAGGGCCGGCGCCGCGTCCGCCTCTCCGAGTACGTCTTTGCCCGCGGCTGGCAGGGCAGCAGCAGCCACGAGGAGGACGAGAGGAGGATGAGGAACCTGGTGTGGGGCCACCGGCGGCGCCTGATGGCCACGGCGAGCGAGCCGGAGCTGTGCTGGCCCCAGGGGTTTTCCTGGAACCACCAGGCTGTCGTTCACTTCGTGGTGCCAGGTAAGGGGAGCTGCCTTCCCAGGACATTGAGGGGTGGCACAGTGGGTGGTTCCCATGAGGGCAGTCATGGACAGTGGGTCTGAGCCAGTCTCAGCCATCTTACTTGGGTCAATGTCACATTCACATTCTGTGGAAAAATCCCTTCGCCCAGGATCTTTCTCCTGGGAAGCTGAGAAGCCTCAGAGAAAAAGGAAAACAACTTTTATCTCATTTGCTTCTCCTGTGTTGGGCTCACATGTGGAATGTGTGTGGAGATCATTTACCCACAGGTGGTTGTTTCATTGGTTTCTGGTGTGAATTATTTTGACTGAATGGCCAATCAGTGCCAAGCTGTGTCGGGACTCTGGAAAGAGTTACGAGTTTTCATTGTTATCTTTTTAGCATTTAGTAAGTATCCTTTCTGTATTCTTTAGCGTAGTATAATGTAGTGTAGTACAGTGTAGGGTAGTATAGTGCAGTATTCTTTAATATAATATAGTATCATAAAATAATAAATTAGCCTTCTGAGAACACGGAGTCAGATTCATTGTTCCTTCCTGCTACAGGGCACCCCGCATATACAATAGGTCACTTCCAATTTCTGTTCTCTCCGAGTAAAATACCTTCAAAAATATGATAGGGCCCAAGCAGCCGTGGCTTGTAAGCTCTGAGAAAGCCCCTGTGACATGGTGGGGAAGAACCCACACTGGTTCCTTGGCTCTGTGGTCCAGGTTTTCAGCCTGGGCCTATTGCATCATCCCTGAAAGGTTGTCGAGGTTTGACAGAAGGCAAGAAGCCTTGCATGTTGAGAAAAACCACCACCATTTAAATCAGTTTGCTTTGTTTCTCTCCCTGTTGCAATACAACCAGTGAAGAACCAGGCACGTTGGGTGCTGCAGTTCATCTCTGACATGGAAGAGCTGTTCCGAGTCACCAAGGATCCCCACTTCAGCGTCATCATCACCGACTACAGCAGCGACGACATGGATGTGGAGAAGGCTCTGAAAAGGTCTACCTTGCACAGGTGGGACTACTGCTTGGTGACAAAATGCCGCCCACACACATAAGCCTGCAAATAGCACATTTGGCAGTCTCTGTGTGTTGACCAGCCACAGCCTGCTGCAGCTGGAACACCACAGACACCATCCATCCACACCCTGCACGTACACGAGAATGTGTTTTTGTTATGATGTGCATATGCATATATGCATGGAGCACTGTTAGGAAAGTGTAAGGCAATACCTGGTCTTCCAGCTAAATTTATTGAATTTGTCTCATTTTTCAAGATTGCAAGAGAGAAGAGAAAGCAAGTCTCTCAGTGGTGGGGCAGGGGGAGCACAGAAAAGATAAGAAAGCTCTGAGAAGTGGGACAGAGTGTGGAGACCTCTGTTTGCTGGAATGATCTGAAACAGCTTTGGCTGGTCATTTCTGTTACATGCCAGGGGTTTCCAGGTCTAGTCCTAGGGCAGGGCTGGGCTAGAGCTGAGAAGAGTTTTGCTAGGCTCTGTTCAGGGGCAAGGCTCTCTGGGCAGACTGGAACAGGGAGCAGTGCGCTCTCCCAGCAAAGGTTTCCTCTGCTCCAGAGGGTGCATTGGGCAAGGGCAGCTCCATGGCCCAGTGCTGTGTGGAGCTGCCTGCAGTGCCTCCCGTGCCACTGAAATTCCCGTTCCCCTCTGATCCCCAGCTATCGGTACCTGAAGCTGACAGGGAATTTTGAGCGTTCTGCTGGGCTGCAGGCGGGGATAGACCTCATAACGGTGAGTCTGGGGGGCCCTGGGTGGGCAGGGCAGTTTGTGGTGTGTGTCTGGTGTTGCTTTGGTACTGAACACGCTGGTTTTTAGGGAGGGGAATAGCCTGGCAGACCAGTTCAAATGTAGGTGTGTTTCCTGTCCTTCCAGAGTAAGGATCTCTTTATTCTGAGGAGCCTGTGCTCTGTTTGATTCTTGGTCTGTCTGCTGGGACTGTCAGACAGGAGGGAAGTCAGCAGTAGCAGCTTTGTGATCCTGGCTCTGCCAGGTATTTCACACTCATCATTGATCAGCCAATGGACATTTTCCCAGCCCTTGGGAACTCAGTTTCTGATGCAGCAATGAGATTTTGACTCCCATATTTCTGTCTTCCCGCCCCTCAAGAAATATTTACTTAAAGTCAACCTATTTTTTTTTCCCAAACGGTACAATTGGTTCCAGGACCCACACAGCATTGTCTTCCTGTGTGACCTCCACATCCACTTCCCAGCTGGAGTCATCGATTCCATCAGGAAGCACTGCGTGGAAGGCAAGATGGCCTTTGCACCCATGGTCATGAGGCTGCACTGCGGGATGTCCCCACAGTGGCCTGATGGTAAGAGGGCTCAGACTTTGAGAAGTGGGGAAAGAAGGAAGTGCCTGCCTCCTCTACAGTTGTTCCTCTGGCACTGTCAGGGTCTGGAGCTTGAGGTACTTCCAAGTCCACAGGATGTGTTAGACACAGGATGGGGTTTAACAGCATCAGGTACCTGGAATTTGAGATCAAAAATCTAGCAGGACCCTTGATATGGTGTTTCTCTTGGTTGTCTTCTAGGGCCCTTTATGGATTTAAGGACCTTGAAAAAATGATCCTTTATTCCTGTCTGTCCATATCTCTCTTTTCTGAGGGGGCACAGCCTGTCCTGAGAAGAGCTGGTAGACCAGGGGTGAAGGAAACCAAGCCAAGTTGGAAGGAGAAAAGTGACACGGCATAGGATTTCCTTTATACAGAGGTGGCCATCCTGAGCCATCTAGGCACAGGGACAACACTGGGAAGCTGGGACAGTCCAGGAATTGTGTTGCCAGACAGGAGATATGAGAGGCCCTGCTAACAAGTTGACAGGACAGACCATGCTCTCTGTCCACAAGCCTTTCTCATTCCCAAAGCTGGTTGGCATGGTTGGCTCTGCCTTGGTGCTGAGTTTACTCCCTGTTGTCAACATTGTGCTGAAGTAGCTGGAGTCTCACTCCAGCAGCTCTGCTGGAGCCATCAGTGGTTCAAAACCCCAAGAAAGCTGTGCCTCTTTTGTGCTCTCTTCAGGCTACTGGGAGGTGAATGGGTTTGGTCTCCTGGGCATTTACAAGTCTGACCTGGACAAAATTGGAGGCATGAACACAAAAGAGTTTCGGGACCGCTGGGGAGGAGAGGACTGGGAGCTCCTTGACAGGTAGGTGTCCACTGTCACTGTTCAAGTGCTCAGGAGGGGAAGCCCATCAGATCCTGGAGAACCAATGACCATGGGAGTGGGGTTCTAAGCAGATTGAGATGATTACTGCCACCATAACCTTGGCCAGTGAGGGAGAGTCTTTGAGCATATCCTGACCTCAAACCCAGTGGATGAGGAGACACAAAATACTTCATTTCAGCCACTAGTAAGAGAAGAGCTGTTTTCTGCTGCCTTCCAGCCACACTGCTGGTTGGGCTCCTGCAGATCAGGCACTGGTGATTGTGGAGATTTTGTCCTCCTCAAGCACTCAGAGCGCAGTATGATCCCTCACATTTCCCATATAACATTTAGTCTTGAAGACCATCTGGTGGAGAGGCATTTAAAGATTATGAGGCACAGTTAAAATTTCTGAGGATTTTGTGAGGAGGGATGCACAAATCCTGAGCCTCTGGCTTTGTAGTTGTAGGGTTTGGGCCCTGTCCTGTCTTTTCTGTCAGCTGACTGCAATCCAGTGCTGTTAGCCATCTTTCCACCTATCTTGGCATATGCAGGCACTCCTGACTAGTCTTGCGCTCAAGGGGTGCATAAACACTCAGAAAGTGTCATTAGATTCCTGCTTATGGATATGGGATACCCCTGAGCTATTCTGGACTATCCAATTTGCTTGCAGTCCTTATCAACAACACAACTTAAAGAGTTTTCCTGGAGCTGAGTCCCTCAGTATCTTTGTGATGAAATTTTCCTTAAGTCTGCTCTTGTGTCTGCCAGGATCTTGCAGGCTGGGCTGGAAGTGGAGCGTCTCTCCCTGAGGAACTTCTTCCACTGGTTTCACTCCAAACGGGGCATGTGGAACCGGCGCCAGCTGAAGACGCCGGTGTAGCCTCCAACCCCAGAGCTGTTTGGCAGCTCTGTCCACCATCTCATCCAGATGTGCACTTTACTGGGGCATGCAGCCAAGTGCCCAAACTCTTCCTCTGCCTCCAGAGAGCTCTCTGATGGCATGGCACAGCTGGGGAAGGGTGGTCAGGCTGGTGGAGCAGGAGCTTCTCTTGTCAGCCGCCGCATGCAAGGCACGGGATCCACGTGTGGCTGGGAAGGCGTGTGGCAGAGGTGTTAAGGGAAACACTTGAATTTCCTGCCATGCAGTCTGCTGGAAGGTACAGTGGGAGAGGTGCTGTGCTTCCTGTTGAGTCTTGCACCAAGCAAACACAAATCCCAGCTAAGCCTTGAATGGTTTGTTTAGAGCGACGCAGCTTCTCTTTCAAAACTTGAATGGAAAAGAAAAACAGAAAAGAAACCACAACCATCCCCATTTCCTCTCCTTTGCCTTCTCTCCAGTACCCATTTATTTTGGACAGGAGACCAAAGTTCTCTGATTTGTATTGCACCCACATGCCCATGTGCTGGTTTAAGGAAATCTGGATGCAGAGGAGCTGATAAGCACTTTAGGCTGCTGGTGCTTAGATGTTTCTCTGTGCTTTTCACTTTGGTCATTTTGAAAAACTGTTCTTGTGTTCAGCAAATTATGGGCTGTGGATGGAGTTGTGAATACATTTCCCTTAGAGGAGCCACGTTTGCCTGTAGCTGGGTGAGCTGGCAAGGGTGATGTTACAATTCCACCTAAATTATTGACCCACTGCCTGAGGGTAGTGGAGGGGCTGTACAGAGAAGCTAACAGAGCATCTCAGGAGGAACTTTGCAGCCTTATCTGACAGACATGTGTTTGTCCTAACAATATCAGGGAAACCCTAGCAGGGAAGAAGTGGCAATATTTTATTAGTTGAAGTATTGTGATTTGTCACAAGAGGAGACAGAGTCTTCTGCTCTCAGAATCCTCTGAGATTCCTGTACATTTATGCAGCATCTAAAAGTTAATTTAATAAGTTATGGCCTCACAGTTGTGTCTTGTCATAGTTTGACTCTTAAGTATAGAGCAGGCTTCTTGGTTGGAGAACCAACCCAGGTGTTGGTGCTCCATCTCTGGAGCAGCCCTCCGAGCTCTGGCCTGGTACGGAGGAGGTGGCCTCAGGTCTTGGCACATGCACTGGGTGTGACAAACAGTGAGGACAGAAGAGCATTGAGTGAACAAAAGGATGGGCAAACCCATGCTGTCACTGATGGAGGAACTGTGGAGAGAGCCCACAGCTGGCCTGGTGCTACAGGGAAGTCTCATCCCCTAAAACTCCTGTAAATGTAAGGCAAGATTTTTTTTACCCTGTAACCATTTTAGAAGGCTGTTTAAACCCAGAAATCCCACCTCACTGAGTGCTTTACAGTGCAGCTTCGGTGTCCCCATACCATGCTGAGAAAGGCTCAAGTTTGAGGGGACAGTGTGACATAGGATGCGGCTCATGGTGCCCAGTTCTGTGAGGAGCTGCTGGGAAGAAGTAATGGATGTATGCAGAATACAAGCAAAGCTGGCTGGTACTAGACCTTTTTGCTCTTTGCTGATGGAGTAGATGCCAGTTCAGAATAGGCATTCATTTATTACTGTGTCTGTGGTGCTTGACAAGTCCATCAAGTTCCGCTATTGCAGCAGAAAACTGAACATACAAGTTCTGGCATATGAGATAGGAATCATGTCAGATCATCTGTTTGCATCAGTCTGGGTTTTGTGAGTGATGGATTTAGAAAAAGGCAACCAGATACCAGAAAGTTCTGCTGTGCAGTGTGCAGCTGGAGATGGCTGTGTCTCTGAATCCATGGAGCCTTTGCCAGAATGGAGACACTGAATATCCCAGAAGAGGCAGCCCAAGACAGAGTCGTTTTCCTGTTTAAGGGAAGTACTTTACCCACACAGATACTAAGAAATTAAATCATGGCAGTTGGTGTGAGAGGGAAGAGGCTGACAACAGTCAACACTTTTTTTGAATTTTTTCTTTTTTTTTTGGAAGTATTATAGGAGTTTGGGAGACCAGAGCCCTGTGATGCAATGTTGCAATAAGCTCTGTTTTTCCCTGGAATGTGCAGTGTCAGTCATGCTCTCGGTGCAAGTCAGAGCCTGTGCTTCCCTCAGACACAGGCACAGCTCCTCGAGTGTGTAGGTGAGCTGCTTTCCAGGCTCCAGGACTGTGCCTGCACAGCCTGTCCAGGCTGGCTGTGTCACGCAATGCCTCTGGAATGGGGAGAGGCTCTGGGGAGGGCAAGTGCCTGGACATGGCCAGGCTTTGGCAGCAGCAGCTGGGAACACTGTGGTGCCTGCTCTGCACATGGAGAGCTGCTGGATTTGGGGGCAGCCTGGAAGTCAAGCATGGGGAGCAGGAGTTATTTGTACCATGCGCTTTCATACCTGGCTGTGGATGTGCTATGCAGCACCTAAAGTCAGCAGCTGGCTTCCATCTGGCAAGAATTAGGTGCCTCCAGAAGGTAACTCACTTGGCAGAAATGCCATGAGTCTTCCCCACCACAGAGGACAGCAAGCAAAGAGTGGACTGGACAGTAGGGTGCTCCCCTCAGTGCAGCACTGCCAGCAGAATTTGAGGATTTTGCCCCCATTTTTCAGCTGTGACTGTACTCCTTCCCTCACACATTGTAAGCCAGGCCAGTGGTAAGCAGAACTACCTCGTGGAGACTCCTTGATGGAGGTGTAAGGAGTTCCTGGTTTTCAGTCCACTTTCCTAATAGCCAGTTTGCCCACTGTCAAAGCTGCCATCCCAAGTGTTCTTCCCTTCCAGTGGGAATACTCAGTTGGTATCCAAGCAAGTAGTAAAGGTGATTAATACAAATTGGCACTGGCTGGCAGCCTCCATGGAGGAGCTTGGAGAGCCCATGGGAATAAAAGCTGTCTTCCAGCCCACGTGCTCAGAGACCTCACTGGGAGGTGAGACCAAACCTTGCAGGAGCAGCTCTGGGCTGCTCTCTGAGGCTACTGCCCCTCTTCCAGAGCAAGCTGCAGTTTTTCTCCCCAGACAGAGTCACAAAGAGGGGGAGAGCAGGAAGCACAGCAGGAGCAGATCCCTCAGCTATGCAGTGAAAGGACATGCCCAGGAAGCTGACTCCCCTCAACAGTTGGTCACATTTCTGTCACCAGGATCTTTTTAGGAAGCTGTGCTGGAGTTTCTGGCCTTCATGTGCATCCTGGCTGTGTCCTGCCTGGACAGCTGGAGGAAGTCAGTTGCAGAGGATTTTCCTTGCAACAGGCCAGGAGCGAGCTGCTCCGGAAGCTCTGTGGCTGGGGAGATGATGGACAATGCTGCAGAGACCTTCTCCAGGGCAGGATGTGACCAGGCTGGGGAGTCTGAGCCACCAAATGTGAGGTGGCCCTGCCTACAAATGTGGCTGTGTACTCAGGACTGGAGTGTGGTGATCAGGCTTGCTTTGCAGGTCACCAAGGGAATGAAGAAGGGCTGGGTTTTAATCTGAGCAAAGTGTATTGTGTGAAAATTATTTGTTTCATCATTGTCTTAATGTTTGCCCAGCATGAACATCTCTCCTCATTGCCTACAAATGTCTGAAGCTGATTGTTTTTTAGATACAGATGCCTTGTGTTGAAAATCTGACTTGTACCTGCCTTAAAGTGGCTCTGTGCCTTCAAGATGACTCCTGGGCCACCTCTTTGTTGGAGCTGGGGGATATTCAGATTCTCCCTTGTGTTTTATAAATACATTGTCTTCCTACAGGAGCTCTCTTCTGTCTGTGTGTTCACTTGCACCTGCATCCCTGTGCAGCAGGAACTGGAATTCAGGTGTGCTCCTCTGTTTTCATGAGGTGAAAGCACAGGCAATACCAGACAGATCACTCTCAGCAAGGGGTGGGTGGGAAATGCAGGGGGCAAGGGTAGCCCTGCTTCAGTCCCTTCTAGATCTGTGGAAAATGGGATGGCAACAAACACTTTTCCTCCTGTCTACATTGGTTTGTCATGAGAAACAAGGTGGAAACAGTGAACAAATACACATTCCAACAAAGCATGAATGTGATGCAATGAGAGAACGTGGAAACACAGTGGCTCTCCTGGCCAGCAGAGGACAGTTCCTGGAGAAGACCACAGGTGGGAGCCTAGACCTTTGCAAATGGGAGGTCAGCTCTTTCACAGCAGCTGCTTATTTGAATTCAATTTTGGCCCATCCTTGCTTCAACTGTGCCTTCTTAGAGTATCAAAAGCTTGGCAGCAGTGGGAGTCACACACAAAGAGGGGAAAAGGCAACCAAGGTTGCTGATGAGTATGATTTCACTATAACAAGAAATTATTAATATTAAAGGAGATGGAGGGAGCATATTCCAGTGTGCTGCCAGCCTTCTGCTTGCCTGGGGTGAGTGGCAGGGAGCCCCCTCTGCTCATGAGGCCTCACATGCTGCCATACCAAATCCAGTAGCTCTCTGAAACAATGATGAAGTTAAGATCTGCTCATGAAATTCCCCTCATGCTTCTTTCCCAGATGAATCTTTTCTATTTTTCCCTCTCTTTACATTCAGCCATCACTGCTAATTGCTTTGCCTCCTGCTCCATGAAGCAGTGAGTCCTGGGGTTTGGGGTCTGCATGCAGGATATGTAATTTTTTACCTTTCCACCAACCCAGCCAGCACTGGCTGGCAGCCCTTGGCTTGTGGTTTTGCTGTACCTACAGCTCATTCTGCTACCTCTAGAATGAAGCATTTTTCTAAAGGACGCAGGATAATAGGCTTCCCAAAAACATCCTCCCCTCTCTGCTGCCAGTGAAAGCAAACACTGAGGAAACCAAGGTGAGCAGCAAACTCAGAGTCATCCCAGACCTGTCATCCCCAAGGAAAAGTGGAGGACAAGTCTCTGCCTGCTTCACCTGACAGATCTCAGGCTGTGCTCAGCTCTACCACTTGAGGTTCTGGTAAATACATAACTAGTATTTTCCATTCTACCCTCGTTGTGCAACTTTCCTTCAGCTCAGAAAAGTCACTGTCAGTGTCAGGTGCTGAGCTGCTGCTGGCCTTACCCACCAGTTTATGGGCAAGATCATTCACACCCTCTCAGAAAAAGCACCATGTGTGACTGACACAAATTTGGGTTTGTAGAGACAAATACAGAATACAAATGAAATCTGTCTGTATCTGTTTCTAAGAGTCAGACACTCCCAGTAGCTCCTGAAGACTGATGTGAGGATGCTTTCATGGCATTTCTCTCTCAGGGGTGGCAAGGATATACAAAAGGAGAAGTCCATACTAAACTCTGATTCTGCAGTACAGTGGAAAAATCATTTAATAATCAAAAGAGCATGTAATTATTTAAATAGGCTTACATAAGGCTATTAAAATACCATTTTTTAGCATGACTATAGAGTTAAAAAATTTAGGATTGAAAATTTTTACTCTTTCATAAAAATCTTGAAACTCATTAATTCAAAGGATTTTTCTCTCAAGGAAAACAAATGGTTCTAATACAAGAGAATTACCAGAGCTGTCATTATTAACCAAATACATTTTAAAACATTCATATTATATTAGTGATAAGAATAAATCATAATGGTGATTTTTAAAATAAAGTAATAAGCTATTAAACTGTAATTATTCATTGCAGCAATAAGCCTAGGCTGTGGCCTTATGTGTAATGTTTCTTCATTATAATGTATCTTCATTATAATCTTCTTTTTTCCATTAAGTATTGTCAGGCTATTCTGACATCATTCCTGATAGGGGACTGATGATGACATCAGACCACAATAACTATTTTCTGTCCTTGTTAACATCCCAGTGCTGGAAATATCTGATTGTTTTCTTAACTATGTAACATTTGATTTTAAACAACTAGGAAAAGATTTGAACTGGTTCTAGCTATCTTCATGTACACACACCATTCTGTTCTCCTAGGAAAACTGTTTCAGAGAAATCCATTCCAACATTTGGGAGGTAAACTATTAGATAGAATTGCTTTAAGGGCACCAACTTACATTTGAGACAAAAAAGAGCTGGACTTATTTATTTAGCCTACAAAGTAAATCATTCAGTCTTCTCTACCAGATGAGCCAATATTGAATATGTGAAGCAGGCAGCTAAAATAAGAGATTTACAGAACTGCGCTTTCAAAATGTATTCCTGCTGCTGCTGTTGCTGCAGTTTTCTCTTGCAAAGTTTGTTCTAGCTTGGAAAGACAATATTCCTGCCCCTCAGAACTGCAAAAGCATTACAGCAAGGGGCTGATATGCTATGACACACACAGAGTTTTGAAGTTTAACCCAGTTTCCTGGATTCATCCATGGATCCTGCTGAGGTCAGTGGAAACGTGGAGGAGAGCTGCGCTGCTCAGATCCTGCAGGGGAGACAAGAAGCTGTGGTAAGGTCACCTCAGACTCCTCTAGTATGTTGCATTTAAACTGTGTTTACATTTTGCAGGTTGTGTAAACAAGAAATATTAATTTTGTTTCTTGAGCTAAAGTGCTTTTGATTTCGGAACATGTCATTCCCTCACTGACATGACATGGAAACCCAGCTATTTGGATGAACTTACTTATGGGCTTCCTTGAAAATGTGCATTAGGTGCTTAAAACAATCCCTGCCAAGCTACAGTGGTTGCTGTAATGAGCTCTGTGTCTTGCCTGTTCCTTTTCTTCCCCAGCGTTAGCTCCCATCCATAACTGCTATTTGTATTTAGCATGAGCTCTGCAGCCTTCCAAAAACCCCTTGTTGCTGATAAATACCAGCAACTGGGATGTTTGGTGTTCTTGCTTTAGAGACCAAGTGAGAAGAGCTCCTCCTCCTCCTCCTCTGAGAGAATTTGCTCAATGGCTGCAGGTTTTTTTGGGACAGCAACATGCCTGTGGAAAGGCTTTGTTAAATTTTCCATCACCACCTTGCAGTGATGTTTTCTGAGACTGAGATCCCTCCCAGGGGTTTGCAGTGATGGGAACTCACCCTTTCTTACCTGAGTCCATTGCCCCATGAATTAATAAGGTCCAAAATTCCTGCTGGGGTAGAGGCCAGTCTTCTGCACCCCGAAGGCTGTGATGAAGATGTTGAGGATGACTGTGATGAAGATGAGAGCTGTGGCAGCATTGTTGAGTATGTTCAGGCGGGGTTGCTTTGCAATATCATTCAGGTTCAAACGAGCTGTGCAATACCATGCAAAAAGAGAAAGGGATTTGCAGGCTGACTCCAAGTCCCCCAGCTCCTGCAAGCCTCCCCTGCCTGGTAAATGTTCATGGTGCCCCTGAGTGCTGAGGCCACAGAGCAGAGGGAGTAGTCACAGGAATGCTGCAGGAGCCAGCTCTAGGATGACACAGAAGGTTGGAGCAGAGGAACATGTCACAGGTTTTCCAAAGCCTCCAATCCTCTGTCCCCCCATAAAAACCTATGTAGGACATTCAGGAAAATGCAGCATTTTGCAGGTTTTTAATACTGGGAATCTGTTGGAGGCTGAAATACAGTAACTCCTGTATCAGATGGAGCACTGGGCAAGCACCAGCAAACCAGTGCTGGTGTTAATGTACTGTCTGTAGGCCACTAGGACAACTGTGGGATTGGTTAAATGTGAGGTAAATATAGGGAATATTTCTGCAAAAATTGTTCTGTTAAGTCCCAGATGTAGTAAGATATAAATTACAGCTCAAATGTAGTGTCTGCAGGAGCTGCATGAAGGAGCACATAACAGTAGGGGCCCATTCTTGGCCAAATCCCCACTCTTTCACTGAAACAGGGGGTCAGCAGTGGCAGTGAAGGAAGAGTTGTGCTCAGAGTTGTGCAGACAAGAAACAAACCAAGCACCTTTCTGAGTAACGCTGCCCACCCTACCACCCACATCCAACCCTGCATGGAGCCAGAGGGGAATGGTTTGGGGGGAGAAGCTTCTCCCTTCCACCCCCACCCTGCCCCTGCACACACGCTCCGGTGGGCACCTTACCCGTGATGATCAGGAGAACCCCAATCATCACCTGGAAGAAGAGGGAGATGCTGATGAGCACGATGAGGGTGGCGTAGTACTGGAAGGACGTGCCCTGCTCCAGCACAGCCTTGAGCTGGGTGACGTTGGCCATGAAGAGTGCCACGTCCAGCATGCTCTCTGCCACGCTCTTCTTGGTGGCGTAGTGGTTGATGTTCATGGGCCCATTGACCCGCAGGTGAGGATTCATGCCCTGCAGAGACAGGAGGAATCACTAAACCAACAGACACATCTGTGTCCGGTGGGATATGCTGGCTTCTCCCTGGGGTTTATCTAGAAAGCCTGGGAAAGGGTCAAAGTTGCATGTTTTAAAAGTGTTGAGAGTAGCCAACATGTCCCCTCACAGTTGCCTCATGGTAATGAGTACATACAATCTCATGGTATTGTGAGAGACAACTGCTCGCTTGGAAAATTTAAAAAGGTTTATTAAACCTTCACAAAAATACAACAAAGGACTGCATAAGGAAAAAGTTGCAGCACTGGGAACTGCCCCTCATGGATACCACACAGCCACTTCAAAGTTGCATCAGCCAGCCCTGGCCCTTCCCAAAGTCTGTCAGTCAGCTCTTCTCTGCCATTTATCAGTGGAAACTGCTTCCTTGTAACTGGATTGGATTCAGGTGTTGTCGTGCTGCACCTCCTAAGCACTGAGCTTTGCCATTCCCACCTGCCCCATGTGCACACCTTCTCTCTACCTGATCGTCCTAGACAGCCCAGGCTGTCTGATGGCAACAATACAGGAGGGAAAAGGGAACCATGGGGACAACAGAGGACATCTA